TCACTACAGTCGAGCACAAATGTGGCTGAGTGTGTGCGATCAAATTTATATTTTGTAGACATACTACTCATTCAATTATTGGTACTGTTCGAAATTCGGTTTGAAAGCAGAGAACATAGTTTCATGTCATATAATTGGACATAGGTAGAAGACTATCTTTTGGCATCTTTGTTAGATGGGGTATAGAACTTGAAGCCAAACATAATAAACGATCCCGAACCTCGCGGAGAATTTCTTGTACATATATTTTTTAACTCAACGCTGCTCCTTTTACGTCTGCAATTACGTATAAACAATTAAATTTCCTTTACAAAGTTTCCTTTGCCACAAAGCCGTTGCACTTTACTTGAGCTAAAAGCAAATTAACGAAGTTTTTGTAGACTATCTCTATGGTGTTCAGCCAAAGTGCTCCTTGTGAGGATCTTCCTATTTATGTTCTTTTATTCAGACATAGATACATGAATCCTACGAGCTTTTGAACCAAAAAACATCAAAAGACATCTTAAAAAGGGTCGGTTTTCTATGGGTGACCATTGACCTCTTTTATCCATAAGTTAGACATGTAACATTTGCGGTAGTGACAAACCGAGGGTCGCTGCAAAAATGGCGTATTAATCCGCAGAGGTTCACATTTCGTACGCGTATCCTTTTCTCGTACCACGCACCAAATGCAGAGAAATGAAAAATTATTTGTTTCTACGAATTAAAGGTGTTATTTGAATTTTATCGGCTTCACAAAAGGAGGATGTACTGTGTTCCGATGTTTTTATTTGGTTTTCTATTTAACCAAATAAAAATACGTATTACTTTGTACAGATTAAATTTAATTTTTACTTTTTATATTACTTTATGAAGTCGTTCGGTCGATTTCTTTTCTTTATTTCTTTGCTGACATTTATCGCTTGTCATTTAGACAAAGTTATTTCAAAGTCTAATCGAAAGACTAAACGACACGTTGTTTGCTATAGTGCAGACTGTTATTTTATTAAGTATATAAAGTTTGACGACTATGTGACCTTGAAAGTAAAGTCTGACCTCTTTCGTAAATTCATTAGAGGAAGGAAGCCAAATGGCGTCAAGCTGACGAGTCAAATTAGATAAGAAAAGTTCGCAGCTCCAGATAAGACGTTATGGATATTGCTTGGGCCTTACTTAAGTCATAGTTTTAACACTAAAATTATTTTTATTATGATTACTGGTGCAAAAGTACAATATTTCACCAGTTCTTTCAGTAATCGGAATTCTATGCGTCTCGTCATAAAAAATTTAATAAGTCTACAAAAATATCGATAAGTCAGTAAAATAAGACCAGGCTTAATTTTGCTTATTGTTCGAATACTTAAATTTACACAAGTACGTACGACTTGAATTCATGAAAGAAAAAAACACCTATTCAGAACAAATGTCGCGAAAAAATCCATAAGCTCTGTTCGTAATTCTCCCATCTTTTCCTAAAGATGAAACATTATAATGGAAGTATTTGTAATACCACTGCGTACTTACAGAATGTCACAATAATATTCAATAGACAAAACACACAAAACGCGACACAAACAACACGATGTTTTATGTATCACGTTTCACGACACACTCGTGAGTGATACTCATCATTAGCGATGTACCAATACGTCACTACATAGATACTCTGATTACCAAAACCCCCCCAGGGGGTTGGTTGCTTCCGTCCTCTCTCTAATCGTCCATTGTAGCGTACAACGCGATCCATTTCAATTTATTAGTGAGCAACCGCAATATGGTTAACCACAACCGCTCGGACAGATTATCGACCACAGATAGATAAATGATGGGTTAGAAACGTTTGAGGCGAGTACAAAATAAAACTATTTATACAGAATAATAATGCAGGCGATTTAGTGAAAAGTTACACATCCACTCCCTAATTTTTTATGACCAATCTCCGAATCAATGATCGCAGAACCCATGTGAGTGATCACCGGGGAATCAGGCCATGTGGCTGGCCATGGAAATAGGTTCACAGCGTCCATTTAACCCCAGATTTACAGCAAATCCCCTACCTTTTTTACTATTTTCAAACGCCTTAAAAACCCGAGGAAGACTGGTACGGTAGATGTAGTCTTCCATATTTGCAAGTTTATCTTTTATTCACTGGCGTCGGGTTGGCCAGTTTGAGATGCTAAAAATAGTATAAATTATTAGCAGCGGATCCGCACATTGATTTGTTCTCTGGCCCTGGCCTAGCAATTTAAATGGAAAGAACTTCATTGTTTGACCGATTTTTTTCTTTTTAAGAATACAAATTTTTCAGATTCGATTTGAATTGCAGATGAAGGTTTTGGTTAAATCCTCACAAAACCCAACTTTGGTAATAATATTTATTTTACAAGATCTTTTAGAATTTTAGTATGTATTGTTACCGCTGTTGTTATTGATTTTTCTTTGCGCGAAACCTACAAAGAATATTTTGAGTATAACAAAATAAAATCTTTGTAAAGAAGTAAATATATCACAAACATCTGTAGGATGTTGTGTAGTGAACAAACACCTTTGTCAAAAATGTATCTTCAACGCTCACAATACCTTTACGTTATCCAACCCCAAAAGGCGGAGGCTGAATAGCTTTTGTTTGCAAAGGTAAGTGAATTAACCCCATCATTATTTCAATATTCCGTCACTCTGTTTTTTCTTCTTTGTTCATTTATTCTTTAGAGGATTCTCACGGGTGAAAATGGCGGTATAAGCACTTCTTTCGGGCCGTCGGTCGCGATATCCTCATTAGGGGCCGCCTGACGCTCCAAAGGGTACTTCTCCAATAAAGCGCTGATGGTTTTTGCTTGGCTACACAAAGCTGCGACGACAAAAACTACCTTTGTGGGACGATGATGACGATTACCGAGCTGGAACATGGTTATCCACGCTTTTTACACCAAGTTACCAATTAGCGTAACAACGTCATAACAGTTAGCAAACTTTCAAAACAACAAGCGCTTTCGTACGTCCTTTATGTTTTACTTTGTATTAGGTTCTTTAAAATTGATTTGCGTACGAGTACACATTGAAGTTCGGAGTTTTGTAAAGACTACGGAAATGAAATCTGTTCAAAGTTATATTTTATTTCGATACCCGTACGATGGAGATCGTTAGCTTATAGTTCCAAAGTCATAATGAAGTTTGGGAACTGAACGGAATATATCGTAAAATACAGAAACATTTTCCCCAGTATATTTTTCTCTCGTATTAGCTTTTAGCCGCCCGAGGCTTCAGTTTGCTAAAAATGTATCTTATGGGAGCTTGGTAAAACTTTTATCGTTCTTAATAGGATTTCGACAGTCCATTAAGTCTGGACGCAAAGAACTACGGTGTGACAAATAGGAGTTTGAAAATACGTGGAGTTAAATCAAAATTTCAAAGCTTTTAATTTTCCAGCGAAATTAATCTACAGCGGAAAATTCGGTTCTATTTTTGTCCTATACAGCATTTTCTGCAAATTGTTCACCGATTTCTCATTTTTAATTGCGAAATCTTTTACAATAATAAACGATCTGGTGCTTTTGATACATTAAAATTTTAACTTTATTGCAGTGATTGCTTGTAAAAATACTCATTCCATAGATATTTTAAGCCACAATTTTACACACAACGAACAAAATGGCGCCAATGTGTAAATATGGAGAAAAAACTCTCAAGGAAACATCATCTTTGTATGGAAATAACATCCAATAATTGCTTAACTCTACGTCCATATTCCTCCAAAAGTATAACATTAAGTACTTATTATCCAGGGTTGCGGGTTAAGCGCAATAATTAATCGCGGACCCGGATCAGAAGAAGGGACGGGGTGGTCTATAGTCAGTAAGAGTCTCATACTCCCTTTCGTCATATTCTAGGTGAAAGAAGTCATATAACAATATACCTTGATATACCATTGCTTGCTTCTTGCACCGACCATTGGCTCACCTCAGCATCACTCAAGGGTCGACTGGTAGAAAATGCCTAAGGCATTAAGTGACAATGTACCCAATGTGCAGGAAGTTTAAATAAATAAATAAGTAAATAAATATCCCTCGTAAGAGAAATTGTATTACATATTATCAAAGTAAACACACCTAATTTTCCTCGAAAACATCACGCTATTAGCACGGGACACATATCCATAAATTAACTTGAATGTTATCTTAACCACATTTCACGACGTGACGTCCACCACAAAACAGTGTTATTCTTTATATAGACATTTTCTTTTCACGTTAAAAGCTTTCCCTTTTATTAGCGTTTACACATTAGCCCTACAAACAACCAGTTAGGCCCTTTCCTAAGAATTTGACGCTCTTTTGCTCCTTTCATTGATCCAATGCTGTTTTATGGACGGAAACGGAAATATAATTACGACGGTCGATACATAAAAGACAAGATGTTCCGTCTATTATTGTATTTTAACTCGATTTTAATATGATTTATATTGAAAGGAAAACGTTTCGTTTGAATGCAAACAATTATTATTAAATTGGAGACTTTTGTGACTGTTTTTTAATGTCTTTTTAGATCACTTAGAACGTTTATAGGTTATATTGTTTAGATAAAAGCTTACTTTTTGCTGAAGAATATTATGTATTAAGGATGAAAGTTAAGATTAAGTATATTCTTTTTTTGTAAATTTCATCCAAGTCCTGTTTTTCTAAGTAAAAACTAAGTTGAATACTTTACTCTCTTAAATATTGTTTTTTTTTTATATTGATGATTTACAATCTCCACGGACTCGGGGCCCGTGTCCTTGTCAAACAATATACAGTAAATGTAGCGGCACTATCACGTCGCTACATTACTTAGATACGATAGAGATAAGACATACATGTTAATTGTTGCACGTTTGTTAGGATAGCTAAATCTGAAAATCTCACGCATCTTCTTAGTATATAAGCACCACCAATTAAAGTAATAAACAGACCTTAACCATCTACAGTCTCATTATTTACCTTGCCACGAAGTCTGGCAAATTGGTGACCCGACGAAGAACAATCAACATGACTCATTCACCCTGCAAATCAAGCAGCAGCCAACAAGAAGCCTTGGAGATATCAGCCGGAACCGCCATTTTATCCCGTATTCCGGAATTTTGGAGGGACCAACCCAGATTATGGTTTAAGCAACTAGAAGCCATAGTAGCACCACAGAAGCAAGGAGACGATTACAAGTACTATACGGTCATTGCAAAACTGCCAAAAGAAGAAATAATACAGGTTAGTGACCTCATTACTTGCCCACCGCCAATAGAAAAGTACAAGGCTATCAAAGAACGCCTAATCAGTTGCTATGAGGAATCAGACCAACGTCAGCTCCAAAAATTATTGTCTGAAATGGATCTCGGCGACCAGAAACCATCACATCTTCTGCGCAAGATGCGGACCCTGAGTAACGGAAATATCAGCGACGAAACCATCAAACTTCTATGGTTGAGGCTTCTGCCACCATCAGTGACTTCGGTTCTAGCAGTCACAGAAGACATAGATGTGAACAAGATGAGCCAGATCGCGGACAAGATATTAATAAATTCAACACGTACAGAGGTGTCAGCTGTAAACGGAAACAAATCTGGCGACGATACAATGTCATGCATACTAGCACAGTTAGCAGAAATGCAATTGGAACTAAATGCAATTCAGCAAGGTCAAAAAAACTATCGACGCAGCACTCAAAGTTATTCCAATCGTCGGCATTTCCTACCACAGTCAAGTTCAAGAGAAAGAAGGCACTTTTGTTTTTACCATGGAAGATTTAAAAAATATGCACAAAAGTGTGTTCAACCTTGTGATTGGAAACAGGATCTCAACTCAAGGAAACAGGGAAACTAATTGAAGCACGGACAACGGCGGAACTCTGTGCTATTCACCCGTCCAACCGCCTCACTATTACCGACCGAAAAAGTGGTATGAGATTTTTGATTGACACGGGAGCAAATATTTCAGTTATTAGCAAGCCACAGAGACAGTCACTAATACAAGATGAACGAAATTGCTTCAGTTCTACTTGGATTACGAAGTTGTGTACGCGAGGACACAGGATATAGTGCAGCAGAGATGATATATGGCGCACCTATAAGGCTTCCCGGAGAATTTTTTGAATCGTCACAGCCTTCGACATACGAAGAATTTGTCACAAATATACAAAAGGACATTTCTCGTATGACATCAACATCAAAACGCAAGAAAATTAAACAAACAGTTTTCATTCACCCCGAGCTCAACAAATGCTCACATGTATTCGTGCGCTGTGACAGAATAAGGAAAAGTTTAACACCACCATACGAAGGACCATTTCTAGTGACAAAGAGGATAGATAAGACGTTTATCATTAAAATTGGGGACAATGAAAAAGCAATATCTATAGACCGATTAAAACCTGCATTTGTCTTCAATAGTGGAACGAACGTGCCAAATTCAGAAAATAATCACAACGGGCGGAACACGTACATCACGAAGTCAGGACGGGCGGTTAAGCCGACAGTACGATTCGTCACTTGCTGACACAAGTAATCAGTCCATTTAAATACTCACCGTATTTTGAAAATACCATCATATACCGTCAGTATCTACGAGAGAACAATGGGCAACCAAAGCTCCAAAGATCAAATCGTATATAACTCCGACAGTTGCCTTAACCAAAATGAAGCCGACCATCTCAAAAGTCTTGTCCTGGAAGAGCTACGGTGGACGAGAAACATTGCAATTGGACAAATCCTCATCACAATTGGCATCCTTCTTCTCTACGGAATACTGAAGACCTTAGACAGAAGAGTGAAAACAATAGCAAGAAACAATCAGCACAAATGCAGTGGATAGTTCATCGACTGCCGCCGCCGTCACAACAAAGGCAGCAGTTTTTATTTCCTTCGAATTAGCAACAATGACATTACATTACGCATAGGATGTAATTTATCAGCAAGGTTAAGTTATTATATAATTAGGTACATACTAATTTTTTTCAATTTATATGTTAATTATTTTTAAAAGGGGGGAGTATATGTAGCGGCACTATCACGTCGCTACATTACTTAGATACGATAGAGATAAGACATACATGTTAATTGTTGCACGTTTGTTAGGATAGCTAAATCTGAAAATCTCACGCATCTTCTTAGTATATAAGCACCACCAATTAAAGTAATAAACAGACCTTAACCATCTACAGTCTCATTATTTACCTTGCCACGAAGTCTGGCAAAGTAAACATTACTAGAATTTCATATTTAAATAAGACCGATTTTACATACTACAACTAACCACAAACTAATAGTACCTATTTTAAAAAAATTACAAGTTTCTAAAATATTGTTGTGGAATGTGTACCGACTATGTTTATAGAACTGTACACCCAATCAGCTTTGTGTAGGTAATATGTATTTTTTCGAATTTTACAGTGGGTAGAACACGCAGAAACGCGGTTTACGCTTCGACAAAGCTTCACGGTTAAATTGCGTCATTAACACAATGCGCGCCTCGTATTAGTATAATCACAATCATTTCACATTTCAAACCACATTCGACGTCAGACGAAATTCCGTCACAATTTTCCACGTGCAATTTTTCAATAAATTGAACATCTGCCTCGGATCATTTTCCGTTTTCGTTTTTCTGAGTAAAGAGTAAATTGGAAATCCGCATTCGTTACCTGCGACCAAGGTAAAAGTCACGAGTGTATTTTCTGCTTCGAGTTATTTACCCGCGCTAAAAACTCGCCCCGGTGTTTTATTCAAAAACTTTTCGCTGCATTTCTGTGCTTACTGTGCAAGTTTTGCACTCTATTGCGCTGTTTCTATAACATCGTTGCTTTCAAGGTTTCTTTTAAATTGCAATGGAAGCTATCTTTAAAAAAATAGTTGATTTTTTTGCTGTAGATGGAGCGGCGATCGCTTAAGAGGTCTTGCGAAATGGGTTAGTAAATAGTGTGGGGATAGCAGATTCTCTGATAGCTTCGCAGGCTTGGAACGATTAGGGCATGTTCCCTTCGGTGAGCCAGTATAGTTTTGATTGGCTATTACGGGCAAACTACTATAGAAAGCCTAATAACCGAAGCGGACAGTGTAGTTTTGGCACTATACACAGAATATCTGAACTAAAATGTGTTACCTAGGCTTGTTAACGATATTGCAAACACTCTCGCTGTTGTGTAAAATATTCATGATCATATTGTTACATAATAACACTACAGTTACGAATAAAATAAACGAAGCGTACGATTTTCGAAGCATTCAAGCGGAAACAAAAGCTTTTGTAAAATGGAAGAAAAACTTTAGTTATTTTAAAGGACTTTTAAAAGAATACATAAACTATTATATTCATCAAAAATAGTATATAAAGAAAAATACATCTTAAGTAATTGCAATAGAGTTATTATTCATTTTTTACTTAATTTGTTACAAACGCCTTTTATCTCATCGCGGCTCGTTGACTTAATTTACATAGGCTTTAATTTCCCTTCCAAGTTATGTTGTTCTTGTCTTAAGTAACATTCATACTAGGTATTATAAAGATCAAGACATGTTCGTCTATCTGTTTACTTTGAAATCGAGCTTACATATAAAACAATACATTATTTTTATATTTAAAATAAAAATCGTGCTTCACATGAGTACCCAACTTTTTTCCTAGTTGTTAATTTCCGAATTCTCTCTTGTTCAATTTTTTTTTCTGTCATTATCATTATTTTAATTACTATTGCAAAATTATATTACAGAGATCTAATCGTCGGTATCATAAAATTAAGAACTTGACTTCAAACCACATTAGAAATTTTGTCGTAAAACGAATTTGGATAGTTCGAGACTGTTTAGGTACCTAACCTGCCAAATTTAGCGGTTACAAACTTTTTGGTTTTTGGTAGATAAATACTTACTTTAAATGAAAATTTTCTCGTCTGTTTTCACAATAACTGCATAATTTGTTTACATGGTCAAATTAAGAAATAAAGCTTAAACTAACAATATTTTCTTTCGAATTTCGAATATACTTCATTGATATTGCTATCTCTGTCCGAGAAAACAAACAAACATCGCAATCATCGTGAAACCGACATCATTAATTTTAATCCAGAGTTTTTCATGTTTCATATTACAAACAAGCAATTATAAAATCTATCTACCTTATAATACGAACAGTTATTAAACGAAGGTTACTAGGAAAATAAGTGGTGCGGTCGACGTAAATACCTAAGTAAATAATTTAAATGAAGTCTTGTCGTCGCGTCGCCCGGAAAATTAACATGGCCGCTCAAGATTAAGTAATCAAAGACAATTTTCTCCAACGTCAAAATAACTTTCATAAAGAATTTTATTCTATCGCGTTATTACAATTCGGTCGGAATACTGTTCAAGGATTTAATTTGCATAAATAAATAACAATCTTTATGAAAAATAGAACGGGTCCCAGTTAATATTCATGAAATACAACAAAACAATACGAATGACGCCATTTTTTAAAAAAACATTTTCCTCTTCCGTTTTTTGATAAAATGTTTATCTGTAATTGCTTTGCTGGTGTCGTCGTCATGAAATATTTACGGCTCATTAGATCATTTATTTATATTTTTTACAATACTACATATAGAACCATGTCGCTCAATTGTAATTAATACTTAATACTCTCTTCTTTATTTGAGTTCGAAATATAAATAAAGCTAAAACAATATATTAGGAACAATATGGACCCGGTTGGGCACAGCACAAAGAGGTTAGATGGCACATTATTTTGTATTAAATTTTTTTTTTGGCGTTACGCCAATTACTTTGTAAGCTATTTTTAATATGAATTGGTACGTTGCATGTGTAACAGTCCTAATAATTGACTTCTATCACTGAGGCTACCTCTTAAATTGGCTTCACTGGCTATTACGGGGATTTGGGAATTTCATTAACGGGACATAGGAACTAGTAATATTTGACTGGAATATCACAATGTCACTTAGACAACCGCTAAGTTTATCAAATGGCTTCGGTATTAGTGGCGACTCCTAAGACTCATAATTATGCAAAATTATATTTAGTTACTTATCCCTATAAAAGTTTATTATAGTTTATTAATAATAAGCAACAACTCGACCGATTAAAATGTACTAAAAATTAATGTTTTGATAGAATTTACTCTAAAGAAAATATATTAATAAATTCTTTAAATATGTATAATGAATCTTTTCTTTATGAGTTTTCTAAAGAGACGCCGCCTTAATTTTTAAGAGACAGCATTTTAAAATGAGTTTTGGTTCTTGTAGTTACTGCAGACAGTTTCGGTTTTCGGTTCGTCGATATGAAATGCCACAAATGGTTATAATATAAATTTCAGTGCAGTTGTATTCCTTTGTGACAATATTATCCCATCTGTTGTAATAGTGGACCCAATGTCAAATACAATTTCAAACTACATGCTTTGAGTAAGCATTTGGTAGACAAGAAATCTAATAATACTGCGCAATGCACTAGGGAGTTGACCCAATCACGTCTCATTCGACAATCGCCCTTCTGACCTCAAGATTAAAATATATTATTGTTCAATGCTTGGCTATATACCTCCACTACATAAACATGGTTAGCCTACAAGTGTCCACTGCTGAGCAAAGGACTTCTCACACGGAGAAGGTTTGAGCATTAATCACCACGCTCGCTCAAGGCGGATTCG